GTCGACTTTAGGAGAATGTCTTTAACATGATTCTTTAAAGATTTACTTTCTGAACTTTAATATATTTCTTTACATTATTTCATTTTCGAATTAAATTAACTATTTTATTGTGTTAATTATGAAATCCATACTTAAATCGTGTTTTTCTCGTACCATTTAAAGTCATGTGATGTGATTTGTGTGTATGTGGTAGTTTTATGATCTCCACCTACTAAAATTGGAAAATTTCTTATTCTCATGATTAATTTTAGAAATTTGGGTATTGTAAAATTCAAGACCGAAAGTTATATGGTCCAGTCATTTTTATCATCAGATTTGGGTTCTAGATGATCTTGAAACTCGTTGACAAGAATTTCATTATGTAACTACATTACGTAAAAGTAGCACTATTTTATAAAAAAAATTGCCTTGATTGAGTTTAAAGTATTCAGTAATTGAGCCACCTTTATTAATTAAGATCTTCGGAGCATAATTTGTTCTATGAAACGTTTATAAAAAATGCTTAATGTACAGTCAAAATTGTACAGCAATTTTGACAGCCCTCTCCCATGGGTGGAGCCCAAGATTATTTTAATCGTGGACCCCACCAAATGTATGTGAGAGTGCTGTCAAAATTAATGTCAAAATTGATGTAACTCTAGCATTTCTCAATGTTTATTGCCAGTTTTCAGTATAAAATTGAAAATGAACATGGCAAGTCTTATTCTTAAGATTCATTATGCTCTATTATGCATAAGTGGGCAATTTGCCCCAGCCAGTTGGGGTGGTTTTCTAGAATGTAAAGTGTTTGGTGGCATATTTATTGATAGGTATACTACTCGATCAATGCATGTTGCGTAAGAAGAATAAGTCTTGAAATCTATACCAGAGCACTAAATTTCCTTAGCAGATTTCTCATATTCCTCCTTGACATAACCACTTTGAGTGAAAAAATATGTCTATAATAAAATTCTAGTTTGTCATCGTTTGATGAGTTTAAAAATCTGTTGAACTTGTTTGAGCCCCATTTTATAAAAATTCATTTTTCCTTGAGGGTTTTATTTTTGAGTCGTATAGTGCTAAAAATACCTTCATAAAAGGGAGATG